TAGTTCCAGTATTTCAACAACTGTTTAACTGTATTTACAATTGTGCAAGAGTATTTTAATAAATATTTTGGGGTAAGGGATGGCAATGAGATGAAATTGTTTCTGTTTTACTAAGTTTAAAACATAGTCAAGGAATATTTATATTTCTGTATATTACATGGGTAGGAAGTTGGTATCCTTTTGTTTAATCATTGCCTTTTTGTTAAGTGGTATAAGGCAACCTTTGGTAAAACCTAAACCTAAAATACAAAATTGTGGATAAAATATTTTTTTTACTTGGTGTTTCAGTCTGCATTGTTTTCTTACATAGCTATTTTATTTGCACTGAAAATGAGACAAAATTAGTCTTGAAACATGTGTATCATTAATATTATACTTTCAAAGATAGTATATATATATATATATATATATATATATATATAATTTAATATTATTAACTTCTTGATGTATGACAAATTCACTGAACGCAAAAGTACTTTTTGTAGTCATATTTGCCCCAAAACTAATCTATTATCAAGGAAGCTATTTGAATACAAATTTATAGATTTAAGCAAATCATTCAATATTTTATTATGGAAATATTTACTAAACACAAGAGTTTTTTTGGGATCATATTTATCCAAAATTTAATCTTTGTGTAAGGAAATACTTTAAATATTAGATTTAATTCATTTCATTTAATTGAGTTAACCAATACTTGAAAGTAGATTAATATATGAATATTAATTTGCATACACTTACCTTTTATTCTTTTTCACAGACAATGAATCTTCTTCCATTACTAGTGGTCATCTCGCTGGTAGCACTACAGTACACCACATGTGCACCAGTGACTACTAAGAAACCAGGAGAAGCCCCCAATGATGCTAATAACCAGGATGCCCAAGAAGGAGACCTCAGTGAATACATGGAATACCATAGGTACCTGCAAGAAGTTGTGCAAGCGCTAGAGAGTGATCCAGAATTCAGAGAAAAATTGACTAAGGCTGAAGAAGTCGATATTAGGGTAAGATATACCTGTTTTGTTTTTAACTTAACTTATGATTAAGAAAAAGTTCATGTTTTTGCCAGAAAATCTGATTTGCTAATTTAGTATGGCATCTTCCCTAATGATACAATGCCATTTACATTCAATTATTTCATAGTTTCATAAATAAATTTACGAAGGATTCAATTGCTGTCCTTATATTTGATTGCAAAGCAATTAATTAACAAGTTAAGAGCATTAAAAATATAACATGCTAAAATGGTATAAAATAACTATTTTATAGCATACTTGTTGATTTGCATTCATTTAATTCTATTTTACTTACTGATTAATTTTATGGTTTCTAAATATGGATATCTATGCAAAAACATTAAAATTCAACTAATTATCTGTTATTGTGACTTTTATCAATACTTTGGATTTTTTGCAACTCAATTTAAATATATAATGCTTTTAATATGCTTTTCATTAATCATACTTATCTATTTTACATTTATTATTATTTATTTATCATTAAATGTAAATATTTTGTTACAGTAGACTAATTTCATTCTTTTAGAATATTTATTCATTATTTTTATCCCTAAAAGGAAAGATCAAAATATTTTTATTGAATTTATATTTTAAATATATTTAACCAGATAAATATACTTTATCACTTATATAATTTTTTTCTAGACGGGAAAAATTGCACATGAGCTAGAATACGTAAATCATAATGTTCGAACAAAATTAGATGAACTTAAAAGGCAAGAATTGGAAAGACTGCGTCACTTGGCCACAAAACAATTTGAATTAACAAATGATATTGATACTGAGCATTTAAAGATCAAAGAACATCTAGATCATACAAATGAACACACTTTTGAAGTGGAAGATTTGAAAAAACTGATCTTAAAAACAACCGCAGATCTTGCAGAAGCTGACAAGAAAAGAAGGCAAGAGTTTAAGGTAATAGTAATAAAATATAGTTATGATGAAATACAAATTACATTCTGTAAAGTAGCCATTTATAATGTTCTTTTGCTTAGATTAATTTGTTATTTTATTGTTTTATTTTCTAGGAATATGAAATGCAGAAGGAGTTTGAGAAGCAGGAGAAATTAAAATCATTGGACGAAGAACATAGAAAAGAATATGAAAAGGAATTAAAAGATCAAGAAGAAAAACACAAGAAACATGAACCTGTAAGCTTTTTTTAAAAAAATATTGAAAATTTAAACAAATTTGAAAATAATCTCTATATATTTTTTATAATTTGTTAGTTACATCATCCTGGAAGTAAACAACAATTAGAAGAAGTTTGGGAAAAGCAGGATCATATGGAAAATCAAAATTTTGATCCAAGGACTTTCTTCATGCTACATGGTAAAGGAAAAAAAAGAATAATAATTGAATATTAATATAATAAACTAATGTTTCATTCATTTTATCAGATCTTGATGGCAATGGTGTATGGGATGAAAATGAAAATGAAGTAAAAGCTTTATTTTTGAAAGAATTGGATAAATTGTATCAGCAGGGTGCTCCAGAAGATGATATGAGGGAGCGGGCTGAGGAAATGGAGAGGATGAGGGAGCATGTGTTTGCAGAGGCTGATACTAACAGAGACGGTTTAATAAGGTGAACTATATAATAAATAGTAGGAATTAAGTCTTTATAGTTTTACTTTTATTTTTTTCAATTCTTATATTTTGTTTATAAATTCATCATTAATAATGAAGGAAATACTGAATGAATTTGAAAAAGGGAGATTGAAAATGTATTATTTTGTATGGATGCAAAATGTTAGAAAGTACTTTAGTGATATTAAATATTTGGTTATCTATTAGCACATAACAAAAATGATCCATTATTGCAATACAAATACTTAGGAAAGGCATTTCACATAATATTTTCCTTTCAGTTATAAGGAATTCTTTGACCAAACTAAACGTGAAGAGTTCCAAAGAGATCAAGGATGGGACACCTTGGAAACTCAAAAAATTTATACACACGAAGAGTATCAAGAATTCGAAAAGAGAAGACAAGAAGAAATTCAGCGCATGATTCAACAAGGAATGGTATGTTCACTTTATGTAATTTTTTTGTCTTGTGTGGCTAGTTTTTTTTTTTTTTTGTATAAATAACAAAATATCTAAATGATAGTTGATATATTTGGCTAATTAATCATTAATTTTAAATTAACTGAATTCTAAAAATGAATGGTAAGTATTTCACTACATTTGATTAGTTTTTTTTTCAAATTTTGAAAAATTACACTGTTTGCATACATAATATTAGTTAGTATGCACTGCTCGTTTAGTTAGTTAATATAATGTTTTTAATGTATATAAACTATTAGATTATCTAATAGTTTTTACAAATATCATCTTATTAATTAATATCGCATTTGTTAATTTTTCTTCCTAAATAGGTAAACTGATTTGATATTTTAGAGTGAATATTTTGGTAATTAAATCAAATAACTTATTTCTTATAACAATTCTTAAATATTAATTGTTTGTCTTTACTTTTTATAAGTAAATTAACAATGATTTCTGTTTTCAAAACTAGCTACAATTCTTATTATTAGTAGTTTTTTGTGTGATATGCATTATGATTTTGCTTTATTGGTAGCTACCCCCAAATCCTTATGGTCATCCAGGACAAATGCCTCCTAATGGACAGGTATGTAATTTTTGTAATGTTACATTTATTTAATGTATATTTGCAGTATAAAATGTATGATTATTTTATTGCATGTGTTACAAGATTTGGAATTGTAATTTCTCTGGAACCGTAATCAATACAATTCTCATTTTCGGTTCATTTGTATTAAACTTTCTATTTTTAATTGTTTTAGTTTCCACCACAAGGACATCCAAACTATCAAAATATGCACCCAAATCAGGTTCATCAGGCGCAAATGAATGAGATTTATAACCAAGCACAACATGGAGTTCCACCTCAGCCTCCTCCACATGGTAATGCAATTCCCAACCAGCAAATTAATCAACAAAATCAACAATTCATTAACCAGCAAAATCAACAAGTACATAATCAGCAAAACCAGCAATTTAATAATCAGTTAAATCAACAAAATCAACAAGTAAATCATCAGCAAAACCAACAATTTAATAATCAGCTGAATCAGCAATTGAATAATCAACAAAATCAGCAATATAATAATCAGAATCAACAATTAAATAATCAGCAAAACCAGCAAATAAATAGTAATCAGATAAATCAACAACAAAATAATCAGCATGTTAACACACAACAACAAAATATATCTCAAGGAAGTAAGCAAGTAGGCCAGGGCAATCAAATTCCACAGGTACAATTTATCTACATGAAATTATATGTGGAATAGAATTTTGAAATTATTTAATTGCTATTTTTATTTTTTATTAAGGTGCAGCAACAGCCAGGTGCCGACCATGTAGCTTCTGTGAATCTTAACAATAATATTCCACATAAATCTGGGGAAATTCAAAACAGTGTGTAGACAGTAAGTACTAAATATTATTTATATATTTATAATATAAATAGCAAGTTCTATAATCTAATATATAGAAGTTAACATATGGGAACTTAGAGATTTGAATCAAACTGTTTCTAATTGTTGAAATAGATTATATATACATGGTACTCCACCATACGAGTTTAATTAATAATGATGATGGTGTCATTAAGGTTTTTTTTTAAAATAGAGATCAGAAGTTTTATGAATTATAAAATGCTGTTTAAAAAATGGCAAAAGGTTGTTGATTAAAATGGGCAATACATTAGAGAATTCCATGAATAATAATAATTTTGTAACTAAAATTCGTACATCGTTGTCCACCTGATATTTTATATATGTATATATATATATATATATATATATCAGAATCCTGCAACTAATATATATTATTAGTTGCAGGATTCTGAAATTTCATAGATCTCACAAATGAATTTGGGAAAAAAATTAAAACAAAAAATGAAACAATTTAAAAAGTTTATTTAAAAGGATGAATCCTTATACTCATCACAGCTCAATAGAATGCGAAACTAATTTATTATCATATCCACAGGTATACAACTCCTGAGACTCTCTATTCCAAGCAAGACCCCGTACTAAACCGGTATGACTATTTTCTTCATAAATAATGCAATCGGGATTATCCTTTTCAATATCAATTACTTTAACTGCTGTATCATCAGCACAAACAGCTAGAAGTTTTGTGCTAAAAATATGAACAATAATGAACAATATGAACAAAGAAATTAAAGAAAAAACATGATCAAATTGTATAGAACAATCTTGTAAATAATTATGAAATATAGAACTATTTAAAAAAAGAGGAATTATTGGAATAATTCAATACATACTTTGATGGACAAAATTCTATCTTATGAAGCTCTGCTGTAAAGCAAGGAATTTTTTTAAATACAGCTCCTGGATATCGGGTATCCACCAAAAATATTGTGCCATCACAATCTCCCAATGCAACCACATTAGATTCAGGTTGCCAATTTATGCATTTCAGGCCATGTTCACTCTTGAATAAACCTGTAAAAAATATAATCATGTTTAGAATTCAAATAGAAAAGTAAAAACACAAAGCCAAAATAAAAAAGTTTAGTCAATTTGTCCATTCACCTGTGGCTGGAGTACTTTTGCGCAAATCCCACAAGAAGCTTATGTGATCATTGGAACAAGAGCCAAAAGTATTTACTTCACAATCGTTCACTGTCAAATCAGTAATGAAATCTCTATGAGCTGGATAAAAACTATGTATTGCTGCAAACCTATCTTGAAGGTAATCTGTATCCCAAATCTATAGCAGAAATAATACGAATTACTAAATTTATTTACTTCAGTATTAGTGTTTTCAAAATAATTACTTTTATTTCCAAATCATTTCCAGCTGTGACACAGTTAGTTGAACCTGTTAGTTTAATAACAGAATTAACAATATCTTGATGTGCTGATGTTTTAGATACAGTTCGTAGTTTTCCATTTTTGCCATCATATGAGTCTGTAGTGTGCAATTTCATTACACCAGAGTCTTCAGCAACAAAAATCTAAAGATAAAATAAATCAAAATAATTGAAGAATAACTGAAGGATATAAACATACCAGATTGCTATTTATAAATGCAGCTGCACTTGATGTTACTTCTTCTTTCAGAGAAGTAAGGACATTCTGTTTCAATAAATCTTCTGGAGATTTATAGAGCGAGAGCAGACCATTTTGGAATCTGCTAACTATGTCGTTTGAGCACAGCAGGACAGTATTGTCTTTGAGCATAGAATATATTAGATATATAAAAAAATAATATTAAACATGTTGTAGGATATACAGACCATCGTTAATTTCTAATAAATCATGCAAGAAATATTTATTTGAGTGATTAGCTCCATTCAAAATAACACTCCGAAATATATCGGCGTTTAAATTCGCGTCTAATGTCATAGTCGTTTATATTGTCCTAATTTGCATTTATAAATAAAGCAATCAAAATTCTAAATTAAAATTTAGAACATTAGTTTGCCGATTAAATATTTGAAATTTTATATTTCATTTCAATGTCAACCTGTTGTGTTGTAAACAGATGACAGCCGTAAACTTATGTTGGTAAAATGCGAAATCGTCGAAAACTTAAGTCCTTAAGTCAAAACTGTCATCCATTTGTTGAGCTGATTAAATTTATTTATCAAGACAATATTATTTATTATCATTATATAATATAGATTTAAAACATTGTGATCGCACTAATTTTATATGAGTATATTTGTAATATTTTGTAATTATATAAATGTAAGTAATTTAATTTCATTCTTTTTTTTTTAAAACATGGATGTGTTGATATTTAATTATCGCGCGTAAATCATTTCCAAGCGAGGTTGGTGCCAGTGGTCAATGTCTTACTCGCAGTGCACCCAACGCTGAAAGTCAAAAATATTCTTTTGTAGTGTCAGTATGGCTACTTGTGTTAGTTCATAAATTATTGGTTAGTATTTATTTAGACGTGCAGTGCAATTTAAATTCCATGTGATACATTTATAAATATTTTAATACTATTAACAATATTTTGTAATAAATGCAATGTTCAGTAAATTTTTGCAGTGATATTTTAAGTAGGATTAATGTACATTTGGATTACACATCGGGCTTGGTCAAGTATGCAATTATGAATTTACTTATTTGGTGGATTTTTTAATAGAATTTTATATATTATATAAGTAATTTATATTTTTTCATGTTTTAAGGATGCATGCTTTTGGTTGTAAACAAATTTGGAATATCACGAATGCAATTAGTTATTATAATGACGTAAGAAAATTTCCTTTTATCGATGCTTTATCAGCACTTTTGTTGTTATAGCTATCATTCACGAATTTCTGTTATTTGGAGCAGATCCAACATTTTATAGATATTGCTTCAATATTGAACAAGGTTATCATTTTTTGCATTCCTTGGCGAAATTATATTGGCGTGCAGTGTCCTCTGATTTCCGTTTCACGGCCGTGAATTTTTAGGATCTGTTTTCAAAGGTCGATATACTAAAATATAACCTTATTTTAACAATTGGAATAATTAGGTAAAATGAAATAAGTTCGTGCATTGTGCATACTCCAGGAAATAATTGAACTTTAGAAATTTAATTGAATTATTATCTCAACTTGTTTGTTAGTTCAATATTTAACTGTCAAAAAGTAAAAACTCGTTTTTCTAGTCAATGCACAAGTATTTCTTCAATCACATGGGCGGTTGAATAAAAATTAGTTATGTTCAAAATAATATTTTGTAACATAAAAACCTCATGTTCCTTCAACCACCTCAAGCGCTTCTCGTTCTATCATGAATTTGTCATTTACCTTTTTATTTCATGTTATTGATACAAATGATCATCCTTCGAATATATGTAACTGGCAATTACTTACAATTTGTGATTTTAAATCCTGCATACCTTGGTTTATGAACCAATTTTTCCTACTATTTTGTATCATAATTGTAAGTGTTTTTGATTTCCAAGTATCTCTTCAATCACATGGTTGATTGAATAAAAATTAGTTATGGTTAGAAAAACATTTTGCAAATCTGGACTCATAAAAACCTCATGCCTCTTCAACCACCTCAAATGCTTCTCTTACTGTCACGAGTTTGTCATTTACCTTTTTATTTCATGTTGTTATCGAAACATAAGATCATCTTTCGAATATATGTAACTGGCAATTACTTACAATTTGTAATTTTAAATCCTGCATACCTTGGTTTATGAACCAATTTTTTCTACTATTTTGTATCATAAAACTAATAAGGTTCTTAAGGGTGTTGTAATAGATGTTGTGTTTTCATAGGAGTTTTGTGTATTCTTGAAGCTCTATGCAAAATACATCTGCAAGTATTTCCTCAATCACATGGCGGATGAAATAAAAATTAGTTATGTTGAAAATAACAATTTGCAAATCTAGGTAAGCTCATAAAAACCCCATGCTTGTTGTTCAGCCACTTCGAGTGCTTCTCCTGTCATTTACCTTTTCATTTCATGTTATAAAATTAAATTTAGCATATGTTGCTTATGGATATACATGATCTGCTCTTCAATGCATATAACTTACAAGATTTGTAATTTTAATTTGTGCACACATTGCAGTTGTTTTTTATATTGTTGTAATAGATGTTGTGTTTTTGTAGGAATTCTGTATGTTTTTCGTATAACATACAAAATTACATATATTTCTTCAATTACATAATTGGTTTAATGAAAATCAGTTACAACATTTTTCAAATCTGAGTAACCTCTTACTAGTTCAACCACCTTGAGTGCTTCTTGTTCTACAATTTTCTATTTTTTCTTTCTTTCATGTCTTTACGGGTAGTCTGACTTCAATGTCTTAACAGAATCAGCTTTCGGATGTATACAACTGACAATTTTGTTAAGATTTGTAATTTTAAATTGTGCCTACTTTGCTTCAGGTTCATATATCATGAAACTAGAAGAGTTCTCATGGTTGTTGTAATAGAGGTTGTGTCTTCATAGATATTCATAGAATTTTGAATATTTTTCAAATTTGGGTTATACTCTATACTTATTCAACTACTCCCAGTGGTTCTTGTTCTATCACTTGTGATTGCATATAACTGGCATTTTCTAAATGCTTATTTTGGTTTAGATTTACATATCATGAAACTATAAGGGTTTTCATGTATGTTGTCTTCATAGGAGTTTTGTATGTTCTTAAAGCGTTATCGATGTGATTCCATATTCCATAATATTAATTTTATTTGTTCTGTTTCTGTTGCACTGGATTCGTTTGGTGTTTTGAAACAGGTAAAACTGTGTCATTATTAAGTTTTGGATTCTTGGTGTATTTCTGTTTTAAAACCTAACATTAATCCTAACCTAACATAAATCATTTTTTCTAATATATATTTGAGCCTCTACATTTATTTGTTTACTTTCATTTCGATTTGAATGTCCCTGACATTTTTCAAGCCTTCATTAGGCTTTATATATAAATTTACAGTAAGAGATTTATTCTAAAACCTTTTATTGTACTATATGAGCCCCTATTGTTTAATTTTAAATTACATTTTGAAGCCCCGTGAAAAAAAATAATATTGTCCATCGAACAAAAGCATTTTTTTAGGCTCATTTAACACATGTGTTATACTTTACAATAATTGCCCGCATATTATTTGAACTTTTCTGCATAACAAAGCAAATATTTATATAAAATTGTGATACAGATTTGCTTTCACATCAATATTATCATACTGGTATATTTTTGTCTGAAAAAGATTTTGAAAAAACAGGTATAAATTTGTATTGCTAGTTTGTAATACATTTCAAAATCACAAATTTTTGCAAAGGTGAGTTTAATGATTGGAGCCTCAGATTTCATTGGGATTATATTTTAACTTTTCGAAGGAGAAGTTTGTTTTCATAAAAAAATCCGACTCGCTAATTTTATGTTTTCTCGACGTTTCAAGCCATTCTGAATCGAATGATACCAAATTTGGAAAAGTATGTATGTGTGTGTGTGCGTGTGTGCGTCTGTGAACAGATTTTTTGCCGTAAATCGACGTTTTCTCAAAAACGGCTGGACCGATTTCAAAAATTTAAAAGCCATTCGATGTATCTCGATGAGGGCTATTGTTTTCCAGTATTGTGCGGCGTTCTGCAGAGCCGTTTCTTTGTAATTTGGAAAAAAGTGTTAAACTTTTCGTCCACATTTAAGCTCATACTATCGAATCGATTTTAGAAAATCAAAAACCGTTTCTTTGCAGAGCCGTTTCTTTGTAATTTGGAGAAAAGTGTTAAACTTTTCGTCCACATTTAAGCTCATACTACCGAATCGATTTTAGAAAATCAAAAACTGTTCGAAAGATATTAGTTGGGAATGATACTGTTTAGTTTTAGGTAAAAATCTACCGAGCCGTTCTTGTAATTAACTGTTGAAAAAAATTTAAGCCGATTTTTATGGAACTTTCTTTGGCGATATATATCATGGTCTTATAGAACTTACTGAAATATTACGGTCATACAACAAGTTTAATTTTAAAAAATTCATCAAACTTTGAGAAAATGAGTAGTTTTTTTTGAAGTTTGTTAAAATTTAAATTAGATGATTTACTTGGTATAACGATAGAGTTCTTGGTCTTGATGGACATACTAAATCATTATAGTCCTACGGAAACTGGTTCAATTATAAAAATTGTTGATTTTTGAAAATTTGCTTTTAGAAAATACTCCGAGTTGATGTGTACGTTCGTTTTCAATTATGTGTAATAAATCCACTCGGAATACTTCTAATCACTCATAAATTAATTTATTTTTTTATTGATTAAGTCGATTATTTACACATATCAACTAGTTAGTCTTAATATTATCGTCCTAGTATATTTTTGTCTGGACAAGTTATCAAACAGGTTTCAATTTGTTCTTACTATTTTGTAATAAATTTCAGGATAACAAATTTTTGCAAACACGAGGTCAATGATTGGAACCTAAGATTGGTATTTTTAGTCTTATTTATTAAATAATCCCTGGTATTTATTTCCAATTTCAAGTTTGAGATCTTAAAGTGATGACGAACGTATTTCCAGGTATCGTCTTCAGAATCCCATCCTATTTTTTTCTACAATCAGCTGAGACTTCGTAACAGCTGGAAGAGGGTGTTCTCTAATTTATTTCCCATCGTTAAATTTATTTAGAAAAAATGCTTTCGTATAATTTTGTATACCCATACAACCGGAAAACAGACCACTAAAATGGTAATGGTAATATGTTTATTAAGTTAGTAATAAATTACAGTAAAAAATTGCATAGTGCGTACTACCTTGCTTTAGTCATGCCTTTGAGCAAAAAATTCTGCACTAATTTTTAAAAAGTTAAAATCCATTCGAGGGATATTTGGGAATTAAAGGACATTTTCTCATATTTGTTTATTTTGTTGACAATTTTGATGAACCTTTTTGTTAGAGTTCATGATCTAAATCAGCATTTCTCAAACTTATTTCTTCCAGCGCCCCCTTTGAAGATCAAAATTTTTGTAGCTATATAAAAAAATTTTGCATATCTATATGATCTCTAAAAAAAACATTATTTTTCATTTTAATAATATAATTATAGTGCGCTATATTAGTTATATAACCTTACATTCTTCAATTAGAAAATTTTACCAGAGAGAGAAAATAAAACGCTTTTTAAAACAGTGTATACATGTATTAAAATTTAGTTAGGGGCCTCTTATCGACCCTCTGGATATTACTTTGAGAAAGACTCTTCTAAATGAACGTTCTGAAATATTATAGGCCTATGAGAAGTTTTACTTGGTATATAAATTTATTCAGGTTTTCCAAGTGAACTTGTTTCTATTATAAACAAGTTAATGTAATTTATTTATACTACAAGATATGTATTCAAATGAAGAAAATATGGAGAAACATTTTTGTACAGGTCACCTAATTCTAGCTGATTTTCAAGCATAAAAATTATTTATATTATTTCAAAATCTTAAAAGCCATTTAATGAAACTTGTTTACGTTTGATTAGTTTTGCAAGAAGATCGGTCGAGCCATTTTTTAGCATTATCAGAAGAATGCAGCATTTTTGGTCAACGTATTCAAAATAAATCCTGAACAGAATTTAAAAATTAAATACTGTTTAAAAT